AAGAGAATCTCTCTTTGAGCTCATCAAAGTTCTGACACAGTAAATTTTAATGCAAAGCTTTGCTTTTCACAAGAAAGCTCACTTTGCTTTATATCATATTTTTATTTGTTGCTGATTAGAGCACTTCAAGGTTCCTGATCAGTTTTTAAAAAAGGCATCTTATCTAGGATGAAAAGTGTGCGTAAAGTTTGGCAAAGCTCAGGCTTAACATGCAGTTCTTGAACTTGTTTTCATGAGACTGTATGCAAATACTAGCCTCTCACAATCTGTAGAATGGGGCTTCCAGGCAGGGCCGGTTCCATGGGGGTGTGTGGGGGGGATTCCAAATTGGGATTTTAGTCAGTAAAATTGGGATTTTGATGGGTAGATAAACTTTTTTGTAGAAAATTGTACTTCATGTAATTTTTAAAAACATTCAAAGATATTAAAAAGTTCTGGAGTTCAGTTTTTCCCTTGATCCAGAAGAGAATTTTCAGGAACATCACAGAAGAAGATTAATCCCAAGATATTTGACAAAACCAGAGACAATTTTAGTCTGGGAGATGCATTTCTAGCCATCCTAGAAGGCTTAATTTCAAAAAATTTCTTTCGCGTCGGACCCAACCATGGCGGGTCCTACTATGTCACTGAACTTGATTCTTAACCCCCCAGGCTCAGTTTTGTGGCCCTATCTCTGAAACTGCTAAGCACAATACCCAGTCGCATTAACGGAGTGTAATAATGACAAAATGTATTCGGTAGATAAACACTTGCACCCTTCCAAAAAAATTTCCTGAAGCCAGGCCTGCTTCCAGGGCATCATAATCGTGCATTGAAGTGCATAAAGCTCGCAAGTCACTTCCGGATACAATCTTTCATATTGTTTCTGCTTGTGCTCTAATTTTTACAGAGAATTGAAGTATGAACTTGTAAGGGGTTTCACAACAATAATCGTTCCAGGTGAAACTTTACCCCCTTAGCTTTCAATCACGGTCAAATTCCTAATGAAAGTTTTCTAATGTCATAATAAAATCAATGTCGTGACCAAAAACATTATGAAAATTTTCAAGTAGACTAAAATTTTTGCTCTTAATGCGAATCTGGAATAAAAGATTTTGTACAAAAACATTTAAAGAATCTTATCAAAAAAAGTTTAAGTTAAATTGGTGTATGCCTTGATAGTAGAAGGGGCGTGTTCGTTAAAAATTTAGAAAGCAACGCCCATAAAGTCCAATTTTCTAAATTTTCAAAATTCTCTAAATAAACTCTGGTGCGAGGAGAGTTTAAACTGAAGCCGTTCGTTGCGAAAAGTCTGGTTTATCCGTACTCGTAATGAACGGGAAGTCTTTCCTTATCAAAAGTTGTACGGCACGGTGTAAACGCGATCTATCCGTATATATCTTTTTATCGGGATCAAACGTTACCCATCATCAAATTGCTCCACAAAAACGTTCTTATTTCGAAATCTTGCATCACTCGCAACAATACTTTCGGTCAGAAAAAGGGCCCCAAGTCCTCTAGATCTGTCCGGGCCTAACATTAAATCCGCTATGTTACCTAGCAGTTCTTTACGATGAAGCTTTCAAAAATCAACAAACTTCCCAACTGCACAAACCTTTTAAAAAGTTATCTTGTTTTTGCTGCGTACATGAATCGCAACAGGTGAACGCACTGATAGATGATCGAACTGCAATCCAAACGGCCATCTTGTGTTTGAAAAAGCGCGCTCAAAAATGGCAGTTGCTTGTTGGTTGAGCCATGGTTTAGCGATGGTCAAACCATGATTGCATGCATAAGAAAATTTAAATCCAAAGGAAATAAATGTTTTCTTATTTGAAAGCAAGGAAATATGTCCACAAAACAAAGCTAATCTTGGAATACCCAACTTAACAGGCACCGCGTAGCAGGGGGCAGGGGGGCTGCTAAAAATGTCAAATATTAAGTAATAAACTACCAGGAAAGCCTCTTTTTAAAAGGTTTTAGCCCCCACTTCTTTAAAACCCCCACCGTCTCAAAGCTCCCTGGTGCCTGCTTAATAATGAAACCTATGACCATGCAAAAAATTACTTATAGGCAAAAATTTCTTAGTAGGAAAGGAAGAAAATAAAAGGATTTTAAACAGTGGAGATTTCTTGTAGGGACATAGGGGGTGGAGCCCATCTTTCTTGTTAGAAATTTTCTTGACTTTGAAGGGGGCAGGGGGCTTGATCTTGCTTTTGAATTTGAATTTAATTTAAAAATTCTTTGCCATTTTAAGAAATGTCAATTAATAAATTGACCATGGTTCAGCAATGGGTCAGCAATGGTCAGGCCAAATTTTCATAAAACATCTCAAATTCAAAGAAAATAATTTTTCTATGGCTTAAAAACAAGTAAATACGTCCACAAAACAAATATTGTAGAAAATCAAACTATTTAATTTAAAAATTCTTTGCAACTTCAAGAAATGTCAATTAATAAATGGACCATGGTTCAGCAATGGATCAGCAATGGTCAGGCCAAATTTTCATAAAACATCTCAAATTCAAAGAAAATAATTTTTCTATGGCTTAAAAACAAGGAAATATGTCCACAAAACAAATATAGTAGAAATCAAACTATTTAATCTAAAAATTCTTTGCCATTTTTAGAAATGTCAATTAATAAATGGACCATGGTTCAGCAATGGGTCAGCAATGGTCAGGCCAAACTTTCATAAAACATCTCAAATTCAAAGAAAATAATTTTTCTATGGCTTAAAAACAAGGAAATGTGTTCACAAAACAAAACTAGTGGATATCAAGCTGTTTAATTTAGAAGTTCTTTGCCATTTTATGAATATCAGTTGATAAATGGACCATGGTTTAGCAATGGTTAGACCATGTTTATGTAAAACTCTTGCCATTCAGAATAAATGAAGGAAATTAATAGTGAGACAAGGAAAATATAATCTTTCAATTTCAAGGTATCAGAAACCAAGCACATAAACCCCCCCTATTGACTGAGTTGTGTCTTGAGACATGGACCATGGTCTTGACATGGTCAGATATGGTTACATGGAAAATGATAAAAAATACAGAAAACTGTTACTTTTTCTTATATTTCTATTGAGGATAACTTTTTAGAAAGTTCAGGATTCATATTTTGCAAGAACCAACAAATTAAAATAATTGCAGGCAAAATCTTCTTTCATTGCTCAACCATGGTCACTAACCATGGTCAGCACTTGTCAGGATCACAGCTCAACCATGGTATGACCATTGCAAACTATGGTTGGGCCATGGACCATGGTTGGGTTTTCGCAGGGGTATGTGTTAATCAATTGGGGAAGTGCTAGCAAGTCCTGTCTTAAATCTGTGTGTTGAAATCTTAACAAAGGTGTAAGAATAATGAACTTTGATAAAAATACAGCAAGCTCCAAACCAATTTTTTGTAAATTTAGTATATTAAACTTTGATGACAGTTACACTTTGCAATGTGCAAAATTGATGTTTGATATAAAGCAGAATCTCAAATGGAATTGTTTTTAATTTGTTCGAAAAAAACTTCCTCAAGGCACCGCTGCAAATAAAAAATTTGCAATCCCCCAAGCAAAAACTAGCCTAAAAAAGTGATCAATTATGTTTGATGGAATTAAGATATGGAACGAGATTCCATTGGAACCTTGTATGATGTCAAGCAAGTTATCATTTCAGAAACAGCTTTGCAACTGGCTTCTACAAAAATATAATGAAATATGAACATAAAAAACCTATGTTTGACTTCTTCTTCATTAATCTAAAAAGCATTGTGTGTGTCCCCCCTCCCCATTTTACTTTATCCTCTTTATTTTACACCCCATTTCTCGTCTTGCTTTTATGTAATTTGTAACTTCATTATTTTACAATTGTTCTGTTACTGTTCTAAATGTAAAATCCGAATTCATATAATCTTGTAATGTTTAAATATCTAGATTGTTGTTATAATAAATCTTTTCACTGTTGCTATAATCATGTTACTGTTTTCACTGAAATTTAGGGGGTTGGGCTCGAAAAACGTATTGGTTCCTCCCAACATCCTAGGCAACGTTATTGTTAAAATTTCAATCATTGTTAAATTGTTAATCATCTATATCGACACTTTATTGACTTTTAATATTGTAAAATTATTGCTGAATATTAAATGAATTTGAATTTGAGATATCAATTTTCTCGAGGGAACTGAACGTTAACTTGAATTAGGTATCTTACTGTGGGGCTGAAAACCCCAATTATTATTTTTGCTCAAGTACACAACCAAAGTATCAGAGCTGGCTTCGCCACTTGCTTTGTTATTTGTGAGCGCAAGAAAAGACCGAAAAGCGTGTCTCATGCAGGAAGGCCTAAATTGACACATTAAACAAGAAAAATTGACACTATTTTTCTACTTCCATCGGAATTATTCTGCTAGAGGCAGACAAATAGCGCTGAAATGATTCTGTTCACCGTACAGAGGTTTTTACGTGTTTCCCACGAAACTCGACCACAAGTAACTATGGTTAGACCAAGACAGACAAAGACTAAATGAATACTGGTCATGGCGCCTAGGAACTGCTGGCTCAGAATCAAAGCGCCGAAAACATTTTGAGGTGGCGGTCGCAGCTATAGCTGGTATATCAGAGGTATCAGAACCCTGGATACGTCTTTATCAATTAATTTTCATGTTCTCGCTTGACAGTCGCTTTACTGCCAGTTTGGTAATTTTTGTCCTTGTATTTTATTTTGATTACGCAGGTTAATACGATAATCAGGGCAAAAGCCTACATGAAGCTTCCTATCCTATCCAGGGGCTAAGTATTAGATGGGGCGCTGCAATAATCATTCAAATTCTGGATATTTGGGGATAAGTGGGCAATTCCAATTACGTTTCATGAAATTCAGCATGAATTCAGCACAACATGCCGAGGTTAACATTTCAGAGAAACAAGTTCACAGGGTGTAGAAACTTCTAACAGTGGACGACTTTCAAAATGAGCACAAAATTCGAAATCAAATCTATAACTTGTAAGAGCTACAATTACTTACATGCTATTGATGTAACGCAAGGAAGGACACCACCAGCAGCATCGCAAAGCAAAAAATTTGTAGAGTGAGCAAGGAAACCGAGTCCAGAACAATACATTTCAGCAAATCATGTTCAGCAAACAAATCAAAGGACACAAAAGGCACATAAACACAGCAGTTTCTGTGACAATGGGAAGTGATCGCAAAAAATACGGACCACCATTGGGAAAGACGCTGGTCATGGCGGCTCGGAACTGCGAGCGCAAGTACTCCCCATGGCTTCAACATAATGCAGTAAAAACTTCACAGTGAAAGTATAAAAATTAACTTTTTTCGGAAATCTGGTAGAAATTTTACTGGATGAGACCTACAAAACATAAATGCTTAATCAAGGTATATCAAGAAAGAACTTTTAACAATTATTTGAAACAACAAACAAAAATTGCAGCGAAAAACAGCTCTTGAACGTATCGTTTCCTATTCTTAATGGCAAAAACATGTCAATTTTCGTAGATTCTTCCAAATTTGGTTGCAAAATGTCCTTCGCTTTCTAAAGTTTGGTGGGTTTTCGTCCTTTTTCTACTTACTGCATAGAAATCATGGTTTATTCTTATTAATTCCTTTCCTTTCCTTTGCAGGGGCGAAACTGCTGGGGGGTATGGGGGTGCTGTGCTGCACCCTCCTCAATCTTCAAAAAAGTAGATTTTGTCGGGCAAATTTATGGCTGCCAGTATATCGGTCGGGCAAATCTGGAAATTTTCTCTAGGTCGCACTTTTATTGCTCCTTTTTGCCCTAGCTTGGTTTTTGAATTAATGGTCTTTTTGCTCTAGTCGGGTTTCTCGTGTAATTCCGCTCAATTTGCGTGTCAAAATTGATTTTTTTGCACGAATGCCTTCAAATATCTATCAATATTATAAAAATCATAAGTGCCATTTTACTGAGTCAACGAAACTGGGTTTCACTGGGGTGCAAATTGTTAGAATATACTATACAAAAAATTGAGCTTTTGTTAAGTTACGAGCAATGACGTTTATTCCGCTTTTATTGCACGCTTTCATGCTGTGAGCTGTAAGAATTTACTTCGACTATATTAAGTTTCTTGTTCAAGTTGTAATCGAGGTTATGTTATGGATGAATTCATCTTAAAGGGCCTCTACAGCCAAATTTTTCACTTGCATTTTCTTGGCTAATCTAAAGGAGTTGAACCTGCTGATCACGAATTCGTTATTTGTTTTTCGATTTTTCTTTACAGTTTGTGAGATATAAGCTCTTGTATTTCGATAATTGAATTGAATTAACTGACAAAAATTTCTCGGTTTGGTGACAATGTGACGAAATTTTGACGTCACTGTGCAGTTCGTTAAGGCCAATCTCCATTGGGCAAACTTTTTTCGCTTTTGCGCTAACGAAAAGCGAAAACTACACAGCGCACAATCTCCAGCTCACGATAGCTTTGAGTGCCAAAAAGAAAGCAAATATCTGCGTGCCAAGCATTTCAAGATGTAACGGTTTGGCTTTCGTATTTAACCAATTTAGTAATGTTCCCGTTGCGTGTTAAAGTCGCATGTTCTGTTAAGTCCTGTTGTGTTGGTGAACGCCTTTTTATGGCAATGTGTTCAGTGCTCTCACTCAACGTTTGCTATTTTCCGCTACGGCGCATGCGTTTTCCCCCTACATTTCCCTACGGCTAATTCCTTGTTTTCCCCTACTTTTCCCTACACGTTTACTTTTCCCCCTACAATCCCTACAAAAATATATACAGAAAATATTTGAAAAAAACGCATCATGTACACAAATTTTGCTATAAACATTGAAATATTAGATAGTACTTCTCAATTACTATATCAATTTCAATATGATCAAGCTCCTTCTGAGTACACCTTTGTACTACTGCAGCGTGGGAGGGTAACGGGCTTGGCCGGTGAGACAACGCATTTTTGCCTCATTTCAGTGCTTTGTACCAAGTTAATTTTTTGACAAAAGTAATTACCCCTCCCCATACCGCCCTTGGCACCGCCCCTGCTTTGCACTATGAATTTATAGCATTTCCATTGTAAACGAACATGATGCTCATCAATGTCAAAATTGGTTGTAAATTTTTCACTGACTTTTACAATTGACTGACTTTAATGTTTTACAGCAAGACATTTTCGTTTTGTTTATATTCATGTACAAAATTGTTCTTTCGATCGCTGCCGTATTTTGTGGTAGTCCAGATCTGTTCAGCATGAAAAGTGCCAGACTTTTGTATTCTTTAAGCTGTTTCATAGCCTCAATGCAAGAAAAAAGATCTATTTCTTTAGACTCTGTTTGTGTTCCTCTATGACAATGAAGAATACTTACGGCATAATATCCTTTCCTTGCTTTGCACAAACCTTTACAGGCTACTTTAATTCCCTTTACAGGCTACTTTAATTCCCTTTACAGGCTACATTAATTCCCATTACAGGCTACTTTAATTCCCTTTACAGGCTACTTCAATTCCCTTTTACAGGCTACTTTAATTCCCTTTACAGGCTACTTTAATTCCCTTTACAGGCTACTTTAATTCCCTTTACAGGCTACTTTAATTCCCTTTACAGGCTACTTTAATTCCCTTTACAGGCTACTTTAATTCCCTTTACAGGCTACTTTAATTATGATAGTGATGAAGAACCTAACTCCATCTTACATTCTGTGGTATTTATGCAAGCCTTGCGGGATTAACTTCATACTCGGTGATTTATGCAAGCCTTGCAGGATTAACTTCATACTCGGTGATTTATGCAAGCCTTGCAGGATTAACTTCATACTCGGTGATTTATGCAAGCCTTGCAGGATTAACTTCATACTCGGTGATTTATGCAAGCCTTGCAGGATTAACTTCATACTCGGTGATTTATGCAAGCCTTGCGGGATTAACTTCATACTCGGTGATTTATGCAAGCCTTGCGGGATTAACTTCATACTCGGTGATTTATGCAAGCCTTGCGGGATTAACTTCATACTCGGTGATGTACGTAGAAGTCCGAACGTGTTGCAATAGAAAGCGGCACAGGCTTCTATATTCAAGCTCACTTCTTTATTAGAGCGAAGAAGCTTTTTGTACTTTTAATGAGCTAAACAATCGAAACTTGAGGGCTGATTCGTGCCTAGGGTGCCATTTCTTTTAGTTCTTTGTTGACTTGTTATGCTTCGAAGCTGTCTTGATATGTAATTGCTTTCCAAGAGCTACAATCACTGCCAAAAGTCTTGGAACACTAACGTAGGAACAATGTTGATTTACTATAGAAAAAAGAAAGGGGTTATGGAGTACGCTTTTCCTTGTGGATTGTTTGATATTTTTCTAAACTTTCAACATTGATTTGGGGGGAAAGGGGGGCGGAAGTGGTAGTATTCAAGAAAACAAATGAAAAATAAAAAATCACAGCGCAATGTGTTAGGTGTTCCAAGTAATATTGGCAGTGATTTCTGATCATGCCATGCGTATGAATCGTGTTAACACATGTATTTACTTCCATGTATGTTTATATAAAGCTAGATCGCATCAATCTTACACCAATTGCATCAATCTTCAGATCTGAGAAAGGTGGATGCAAAGTTAGAGACGGATTTAAGCGGCAAGGACTAGAGTGCGGGGTATTAGATAGAAAATGAATTTTGGTGCCACACCTTTCATGTCATTGGAAAATGATGGAAACACCTATCTTTAAAATTCGGTCTTAGCTTCAAGATAAAGAAGATAACAAGGTAAATAAAGGAAAATATTGGCGATATTTGATTACTATTGACTACCAAAAGATGTTTTTTAAAAAAAAGAAGCAAAAAAAGGACACAAACTGTTGCACCACCCCCTCCCCCAACCTCCAAGTAAATCTGTCCCTGTACATCGTTTCCTTCAAATGACATCGACAGATATTCTGATAACTGCAACATCGTCTGTAATTGCGATGGTTGAGTGCAAGAGGTATCAACTCATGCTTGGCATGTCGGTGCCATTCAATATTGCACTCTCTAGTTGCTGTAAAAGTTGGAGTACATTGCCCAACGACACTGCTGAAGAATCGACGGTCTTTCATTGCTAACGAAAGCTCCTCCTCAGTATAGCTTTCTTGAAGAAAAATTTTTATTAGAACATTTTCCTTTCGCTTGCATTTTGTTCAATACTTAGTTTCCCAGGCGTGCAAATATATCAGCTCAAATGACATTCTTGAGTTTCTGAATAACACGAAGGTCAAACAATTTCAAAATCAAAGTGAAGCAATCTAAATTACGACCATCAGCTTTTGTAAAATAAAGTATTTTACAGGACAGGTAAAGCTCATAAATCAGACTCCAGTTCGCAATAACGTTTTTAAAAAAACCAAGATTCTTCAATAGCGATCGTATAATCAGCAGCAACCAACAACTACAAAATGACGACTTCATTCAACAAAAACTTCGACTAGACTGGACTTGCTCTCAAAGAACATACGTTTTTAACAACATGAGTGACGCACACAAAACCCTAATGACACAAATTAACGGCAAATGGACTAATAACAACTAAAATAGAGATGGCACGATGACAAACAAAATGACTGACGCAAACATCGGAAGACATTCTCATTAACAATAACGAACCACAAACACTATGCACGACAGACAAAACTAGTTGTATAACACTTTTGAATTCCACGTGCTTGAAAACGGCAGAACCGCCATTTTGATGACGTCGTGCAAACTTTAAATAGAAATAAATCGTTATCTGCTGGTCTGAGAGAGTTTATTCTTTAGAACGTTTTGCTCCTATTACAATGCCAAACAAGATGGTTGGAGCGATTTTTCAAAAGAGAGAATTAAAAATTTTAATGACCAGGGAAAATGGCGTCATCGATCACGTGATTTCTATTGTGTTACAAAAATGTATCCAAGGCTTATAATATTCAGCAAGGCTGAAAGTACCCAAATCAGAGTAAAAGCTAAGGTTAGGCACTTTCCTCGATTGTTTTTAAAAATTCCCTGCCTATTAATATCCTTCGATCCTAAAAAGCTCCTGCTGTAGATTTAGATGCAGTTATCAACGCCTGACCATGACTCCTTCACGCTTCGGTGGAAGATATACGAAATTCATGGCCCACGAAAGCCGCACATTGTGACGTCAGAATGTCACCAAACTGATTCGGCTTTTGTCGTTTTTTCCCCGGAAAGGTGCAACTTTAAAGCCTTATAACTTTTAAACTAATTGGAATTTTGCAAAAACAACGACTTTGCCATAATACACGCACCAGATGCTAACTATTTAGTCAATAAAAAAAATTTTTTTTGGCTGGAGAGGCCCTTTAAATCGCTTGTTTCTGTGCGGAAAACTCCTGATTCAAACAGGTTATGGGCCTAGTAGTTTTGATAAATTCGAGTAAAAGTTTGCCACGAACAGGAGCGGATCTAAAAAATTATCCCGAGGGGTGCTAAAACGTAAGGCTTGGTAACCAAGGGATACCCTGGGTGCCAGAGCCTCAGAGAGTCAAAGGATGAAGAACGGGGGAAGGAATTGCGAAGGAGAATTGCTATGCACAAACTCCGTACCCCTGCTAATAAGCCATAATCATATGAAAGTCTTCAATAAAATAAAAAGCCTGGATGCCTTGATTAGTAATTATATAGTAATTTTTTGCTACACTTTTATCAGAACTTGGAACTTTGGCTCCAGCTTTTATGCCAATTGAACGCAATTTGTAGCTCTCCTCCTCTTATATTCACTTAGGGTACAAAAGTATAGAAACTGTAGTCAAATATGATATGATGGCCCGCAGTGGCAAAAGGCCCGAGCCCACAAATTTCCAAAGCAAAATTTAATTTTTGACTCTTTGCGAAGCCCTTTAAGTGCAGTGCACGTCATTAGAGGCAATAGTTTCAAAGGAGGATTTAAGAAAACAATAGAGAAAAGTTGGAAAAAAATTGAACACAATTAGTTTGTAAAAGTAAATGGGATTCATCGACATATGACGCCAAACCAAACAAAGGAGGCCCTGAACGTCTCGCTATGGGCCTGCCGTTTTGAGTATTTGTATGGAAGGTCATCAAGAATGGTCGTCAAGAAGGTCGTCAAGAACAGAAGGAAGGTCAAGAATAGTAAGGGCAAGCTTCAGAGATGTTTTGCATGTAGTTTTTGAAATGATTAAAAAAATAATAACAAGGGCTCGGGCAAGCTTTATCCTGAATATAAATAATACCTCATGGTCTTTGAATGAGACGTGAAACACGGAGTTCTGCCCTTACAGCATCGAGCATCATGTTGTGGTTGTTGGGTTGTTTTATTGTGATTGACATGCAGTTGCATGTCATTCATGTGATTGGTTGTAGTTAATAGTATCCTACAGTTTAATTGAATTTAACATGCGTTAATATTTAGAGAGGAGGATTTTTAAGAGGTATTCAGGAACCATTTTAAAGAGGATTTCAAGAAGGTTTTAATAGCGTTAAGTAATCGTTCTAAATAGTTACGTATTTATTAAGTATTGTTATTAAGTAATATTGATTTTGTATATATCTGATTGAAACAATGGCCTCTCCAATTGAATCCAGCCTACCATGGCTGACACACAAATGAACTTAATAAAAACATAACAATCAGGAAAAGATCGTCAAAAGACCCACAAAAACATATTCAATTGCAAATTTGCGCTAAGCATTCGTCGCGTGCTGTATCATAATTCAACTCCCCCTGCTCAAGCTCAACCCCACTGCTCAAGCTCAACTCCCCCTGGTGATAAAACCACTATACATTTGACTGTAGATTGAAGCGAAGAAACTGTCCCTGGTTTGGTCGGTATTCTTTTGGTCGGTCGGTTCTCGCGGCAAGGTTTAGAATCCCTCGACCTGGACCGTGATTGGCTAGATTCACTTCCACGGGTGCAGAATCTTCCTCAAATGGCTGGTTATAAGAGGAGACAATGCTTTCCGAGTCTGTATAATGCTATACAGTACAACCAGGGGGAGTTTGATAACACTTCAATGCATAGACTGAAATAACAATGTTGAACAGTTGTGAGACGGGGCATTGAAGCGGATATAACAATTTCAGGAGATGTGAATACTTCTCGTTAAAAGAGATAATAAATGGTTTAAATGATAATAAACGAAATTGTGGTAGAATAAGCTTTAATCTCCAAAAAGTTTTTCCTCAAATCTGAGGCATGCTCGCGCCCCCTTAGCACCCCTCTGGATTCGCCCCTGACGAAGCTGACTTTCAACGATATTATATCAGTGCGAATTATGGCTGCGAAACCGATAGATTTTATGTCACAGCACGTTGATAAGTTCGATGGAACCAATTTTCATTTATGGAAGTTCAAAATGCAAATGGTTCTCGAAAATAAGGATATTTGGGGTATAGTTTCTGGCGAAGAAGTGGAACCTGCAGGGAATGGGGCCACGGAAGCTTCTGCAAGGAATGCGCACTAGTTTAAATGTGGGAAGGCTGAAAAGGCGTAACCGGAAATTTTTCGAGTCTCCACCCTCTAGAACGCCGAGAACGCCCCTTTTAGAAAACACTTGCTCAATTCAACGGAAGTTTTATTAACATTCTGGTTCAAAGAATATATCAATAGCTATAGAAGTAGATGAAACTAGCTTGAGGATAGTAAAACTTCAAGAAAAACACCTAGAAAATGAACAAAAAGGGTTCCCAGTCAAGAAAAACTGCTACTCCTTGAGAGTATACTATATTCTTCTATTGCAAAAAAGTGGAGGGGCCATAGCCCCCTGCTGGTCCAATGGCTGCGCGGTGCCTGAGCTGGAAAGCACTGCCGACCATTTGTTTATCGATAAGTGACAGTCAGTTATCTTTGGTTCAATCAGCGAATACAGCAGGCGGAGCGTTGCCAAAATTAGAAAACCACTATAAAGTCAAATCACTGGCTAGCAAGTTGTTTTTACAAAAGAGGTTTTTTACTGCGACAATGTCAGAAAATGATACAATGATGGAACACATAAACAAAATGAGAAGTTTGGCAGAGCAAATGGTTTCAGTGGGAGCGCAAGTCTCTGAAGAAGATCAAGTGACGACTCTTTTGTGCAGTTTGCCAGATTCCTATATTAAGTAATAACCTTATTGTTGCACTTGCATCACGGGCAGATCAACTCACCCCAGAATTCATTATTGCCAGATTTCTACATGAAGAAAGAAAACGATCTGAAGTTTCATCTGAACTTAGAATTGCGATAGAAAAGGCACTTGTTACCACGATGGAGATGTCTAGAGTTGCTGGACACCAAGTGAAATCCACCAACAAGAAAAGGAAATGCTACAATTGCGGTTTAAAAGGACATTGGGCAAGAGACTGTAAGAAACCTAAGGAGTCAAGCGAAAGACAGAGACAGCAAGCTAATGTTACAGAAATTGAAGCCACGCATGCTCTCTTTTGGGCAACAGCCAGTACAGACAAGAAAAAGCTAATAGCTGGATTATTGACTCTGGTGCATCTCAGCACATGCCATGGTGCAAAGATAGGATGGTGAATTTTCGTGAATTTTCTGTACCAGAGAACGTATGCTTGGGTGACGAAAGAGTTGTATTCGAACAAGGTACAGGGTCAGTTTGGGTTAAGGTCAAAGTCGAAGGGAAATGGAAGCCTGTTGAATTGGCCGAAGTGCTGTTCGTTCCAGATTTGGCAAAGAATTTGCTCTCAATCAGTGCAATTGTCACAAGGAATTTGTCAGTGGTTTTCAACGAGGACAAATGTCTAATCCTAAATAGTGATGGAGAAACCTTGGGTTTAGGAAGAAAAGACAGAAAGTTGTTTATTCTTGACTGTCTACCAATGAATGAATTAGCACATGAAGCTAACAGTGCAGCTGATACCTTGCATCAGAGTTTTGGCCATTTAGGAGTGAAGAATTTGAAAACTTTACAACATAAGGAGCTAGTTGAGGGAGTGAAGTTCAATGATTCAAGATATATGCAGTTTTTTTAGGCCTGTGTCGAGGGAAAGCAAACACGAAACTCATTTCCAAAAGGTCAAGCTGCACATGCTACTGATTTACTAGAGATTGTGCACAGTGATGTGTGTTGACCAATGCAAACAACCAGTCTGGGTGGACATCGATATTTTGTTACTTTCATCGATGGTGAATCAAAATTTACTGCAATATATTTCGTAAAAATCAAAGATGAAGTTCTTCAAAAGTTCAAAGAGTTTGAAGCCATGGCAACAAATGTCACTGGACAGAGAATCAAAAATCTACGATCGGCTAATGGTGGGGAGTATAGGTCAAATGAATTTAAAGATTTCTTGACACTCAGAGCAGAGAAGTGTCCCAAAGCAGAGAAGTTTCCCAAAAACACCATAACAAAATGGGGTCGCAGAGGATGACGCTTTATTGCAAGTCGGTGGACGTTGGTTGAACACTTCTTCAGTCACCTCTTAAATTGTGACATTTCTTTTGATATTCTTGTTTTTTCGAGTGAATCATGGCAACAACGAATGAATCAGTATTTCCACCGAGGATATGATTTCCACCATCGTAAATGAGATCCGCCTTATTAAAAAGAAGAAACCCGACAAGAAGTTCATTGTGTGTGAAGCCGCCAAGCATGGCCTAAGCAAGGCATGCACGACATCCATGTTTGGACAAAAGGTTTCTAAAGGCAAGATCTATACAAAATGTGAATCTTACCATGTGGTTGATGCACCGGGCAAGAACGCACATCAATCTGAAGATGATGAAGAAGAAGCCGAAGTAAAGTCGCCCGAAGGTAAACAAAACTTATCATCTTGCACGTAGCAGTGCCCCTTGCTTTTCCCCCAGGTCTGGCTTTAGACTTACTCCATGAGCCTCTGTTTCGCTACTGCCTCACTTGACGGACGCTACAACAGAGACTCATAATCCAAAGTACTCAAAAACTGGCGCTCAGGACAACTTTTTGTCCTACCAATCACAGAGCAGCTTTTCAAAATACGGCTTTCTGATTGGCTGGAACCTCAATTTCTTTCATAAGGAGGTATCTTTTTAAAAACACCCTAACCCCCGTGTTGTTAGCGTTACAAAATGTCACTGTCGAGAAATGGCAGAAAACTGTTGGCTGTTTTCGAAAATTTTGAAAGTGAATTCTATTGCAAAGCGTACAGTGAAAAACACGTTTTTGCGTTCGCCTTCTCCTGCAAATGGAAACACTTTGTATAATTTTTGTATGAACTTTTTGTCCTGAGGATATGCCTTAGTACGCTCCACTCTCAAAAGTATCGCGCTGGCTTGACGAAAAGAATTAAATGACGACAGCGTAGCAAGGGCAGATTTTGTAACAATAGATTCTTTGGTTTGTTTACATTTTGTTGACTAGCCAATCAGAGAGCTCTATTTCTATGGCGTCATCTTATGGTAATGGCGGATGGAGGGGTTTGCTGTGGAGAAAACAACACCCTCGTTTTTTCCTCGCGACGAAAATATACTTTGAGAAAAACTCGAGATTTTTTGCATCCGCATAGAACGATAAATTTTACATGTAATTTTATTGGCACTAAGCTCTGCGTTTTCTGCTCTTTGCGTGATCGCTCGCTATTGACATCCCTTTTTGCACGTCCTCAATTGCTCGACGATCGATTGCACTTCCGCACAAAAACAAATTCAAAAAACGTTATAGTTTGCATCTGTACAATATTATTTGACAATATAACTGGAAAATAAGGTAAATTGTACTAGGAAAATGAAAGAGTTAAAAACGAAATTTTGAGCATCGCCCTTTGTCAAGTTATAGAACAAATTTAGATTGGCAAAAGGACTTTTCAAAAATACATGAGGGTCCACCAGATAGTTTATAAGAAACGATAATGTTTTTGAGAAACCATTCCAAGATGAACCAAGACATTAAAATATTGCCAACCTTGTTCATTTTTTTCTGTTATTAGCTTTTGTTGAAATATGAAACCTTTGCAGTACAATCTTTACGCAAATAAACCAATGTCAAATCAACGCAGAGCAGAAAAGTCAGGTGGTTAGAACTCAATTACAAATTGGCCAATGAAACATTATAATTTTTTATAAACTCGTTCTCAAGACACAAAAACTTTTGAAAAACAACGTGTTTACTTTCAGTTGGGAAGATTATTTGCACGGAGATGCTAACAATCAATTACAAATCATGTATAACATTTAGTAACATTTTACCAGACCATAAACGTTTTTGAAAAGCAGGCATTTTATTCAGTGCAAAAGCTGCTTTCTTTACCGCTGCAAGTCTTGCTGAAATCGATAAGTACGAGTGTACATTTGTAATTGTTTACTTTGCTTCTTGCAATATTCATGGACAGATTTTAAAAGTTATGATTTTCAACTTCAATTTACAATTTTCTGTAAACATTTTGTTCAATTTTGTGCGATGAAGCAAACCAGTTTCGATGCAAACTGGTTAGGGCAGAACGTTCGACCATTTGTCTCGCGAGAGTTCTTGTTCTTTTTGAACGTGACCAAAATTTTATGCTTCTTGCTTTCAAATTATTTTGCAATTTTCTAAATCAGCAGTTTTTTGCATTCAATTATACGAACAATTAAATAATAGCTTTTCTTCGATCGTTGTGATAAAACATTATTTCTAGACACTGCTAATGTGTCAACTCACTTGTTTCCGATGCTACCATCTTGAGGAAAGACCCTCAAAAAGTTTGCTTACACATCTATAATAAGATGAATTTTTTGACGAATAAATAGTTCAACGCCAAAGAAACACAGGAAAAATTCGAGGAAATTAATGGAAAGGTTATTAAGAGAATTGTCTTTGAAATTATTTAAAAAATACTTAAAAACAGATTCCTGGCAATATTCAAAACTTTCCGGATACATTCGAGTGGGGAGTGCAGTGTATAGTCCAACCAATGAGAATTTTAAATGACCATCGAGGCATCGAATAGCGGTGGGACATTGTGTCTTATCTGCCATCTTCGTATAACCGTTGATTGCGAGTTTGTTCAGTTACTGTTTTTTATTCGCTTTTCACTCTCCGTCCCGCCGAAATTATGGCTAGACCCCTCCCCCGAAGGGCTAGCGCTACAGATACATATCCACCTTAATAGCTATTTTAGGTTGAAAAATGATTTAAAAAACACTGTAAGACCCTTTTTGAAATATTCCTTACATCTGCTAACAGTGCAATTGAAGTCCACTGTTGTTTTTGGTAGAGGAGCGTGATTTGTTGGGTTTAGGGCCGAGTCGTCGGAGGGTCATCGAGCCATTGAGGGCGTGCAAAAAGGGATGTCAATAGCGAACGATCACGCAAAGAGCAAACAACGCAGAGCTTAGTGCCAATAAAATTTCATGTAAAATTTATCGTTCTATACGGGTGCAAAAAATCTCGAATTTTTCTCAAAGTATATTTTCGTCGCGAGGAAAAAACGAGGGTGTGGTTTTCTCCACAGTAAACCCCTCCATCCGCCATTACCATCAGATGACGCCATAGAAATAGAGCTCTCTGATTGGCTAGTCAACAAAATGTAAACAAACCAAAGAACCTATTGTTACAAAATCTGCCCTTGCTCGACAGCGTTGAAAACAACCTGACCAGTGAATTTTGAACTTCACCTTTGTGAAGCCATTAGGCGCTAGTTTATAGTCAAGAACCAATTTAAAAAAAAACTTTTAAAAATTAGCAACATTTTTCATCAAATATTTGATAAATTACTTTAAAAGATCAAAGTTTCGATTTTTTTATCGGAGAACCTTGAAACCATAGTGAGACCTGTTAAAATTTAATCAAAGTGATGATAACAAGTTTTGTTAAACGGGATAAGATAAATTTGTATTTCCATACATATTCATACCAATTATGTCAATGATACACCAACAAGCGTTAAAATTAATTGATCCTAGGGATTTTCTCTCGCCGATGCGCCGAGTAAGAGGACTTTTCCTTCATACACCTAAGGGATTTTTCAAGCCCAGGCCGGACACATTCGGGCCGACCTACACATGGAGAATGCACCCTGACATTGAGAAGTTCAGACGATAAACACCACAATTCAGTGAATATAATTAGTATATACAAATTCAATTGGATGCAAACATGTTTACCACAACATAATAAACTACAAAGACAAAAAGTCGCGATGACAAAACTGAAGTTATAAATGATACTATAATCGAGTTCATATTAGATTCTTGAAAAAGTCCACAATGAAATTTTACTTGAATTAAGACTCAAATTTTCTGTGTTGTTGGAAGAATTGCCTGTCTTCATTCAATTGAGTTGTAACCTAGAAGATAGACATAACAAAAAATTACTCACAATAACAAGAGGCACAACTTTATCCATTTTAATATCCTAGTTTTTGCCACGGTCCTACCTACAAGGCTTAGTTCAAAGTTTGGCTTAACTCGCAATATTTGAAAATTACATCAAAATTAAACTGGTCTGGAAAAAATTATCGGTAGAATAAACGCTTGGAAATAAATCCAGCCCTTGTTTTCGATTTTCCTAAACCATGCCTTTCTCCTTCAGATGCTTGTCTATCCACATTAATTTGACTTAGGATATCATTGAGCCAACAAAATCTGAGGTTTTTATTCATTTTAGTCACGCACAAGCCACAGCAATTAACGCAAACAGGTGAAATAACTTATAAAAATCTTTCTACATGACATCTTTGAAAAAATTATAGGAAAATACCGCAAAAAGATTTACTTACGGTTGCAAAGTCGGAAATTTTCACTGTAACATCCACACCAGAGAAATTCCCAAATTTACATGTGAATGAAAGAGCTGTTCAAATGTGCAAATAAGGGGGGTGGATTTGGAAATTTTTGAAAAGAAATTGAGAACGAGACAAAATTGAAGTTGCCAGTTTTTGAGTAGTTTGGATTACGAGTCTCTGTTGTAGCGTCCATCAAGTGAGGCAGTAGCGAAACAGAGGCTCATGGAGTAAGTCTAGTCTGGCTTGTGTGTTGGAATGAAATATGAGATCGAGGCTGGCGGGACCCGGGTTCC